GTGTTACAAAGAATGCGAGTTCACTATGGTGTTTTCAGATGGGCTCCAGGTGGGTGAAGCTGGACCACATGCTGCTCTGGCCTCTCCTGGAATTTGGCCATGCAGGGTGCTGGTGTGCAGCAGCACGATGGGCAGGAATGGAGAAGTCCAGCCTCTTCACTACTCTCTGTAAGTTTTGAGGAGCTCAGATTCATCTTGTCACTATGGCTGCATAAAGTATGGCCATAGCATCAATCTTTTGTCATTTGGCCATTTTATGAGTGCTTAACTCACCCTCCAGTCTGCTTACTCAGTACTAATGCTATAAGAATTCAAGCTTTTTCACTTTATACAGTTTAGTGAGCTCGGTGCATGACCCTAAAAAGGAAGAAGAAAACCCCAAGCTGCATGAAGCAAAAATTAAACATAACAGGGTTTTAAATGATGTGGGGAAAAAAATGTCATTAGGTGCTAGTAAATTGACATTGTGGATCAGAAGATGTTGAGAATGTTTAATGAGCAAGTGCTGAGACAATGAGATAAGAGGTAATGAACTGCTTAACCTGCTGGTTTCAGTAGGATGACATTCAAGCGAACAAAAGTGAAAATCTATATACGGAGTGCCTTACATGTCTCTCACTGGCTGCAAGCCCATTTTTAATTTCAGACTATAATTATTAACTTCAGTCTTGCTACATGGTACCAATCAGGAACCTAGCACTATCACTATAACAAGGGATGCCTTAAAATGTTTCTACAAACTCTTTATTAAGGTTCATAGTAATTGAAGCCCAGTTCAAAGAGGCATTACTTTTTCTGTAATTTAGGTGAGATTCGAACATGTAAAAAAAAAGAGTCTGGATTTGAAGCACAAGAATTACAGCTAATAGATTTTAGTCAGGACATCACTATATGCAAGTCTTCTAGGAAGTATGTGTTTCTTGCTAGGTGCTGCATGTCACTGTCTGCATGCCAGTCTATAAGTATGCAGGCTTATTTTACTTCTTTTTCTCTTGTTTTTTGCTGCATAGCTTTTCTAGTGTGGCTACTAGATGTGCTGACATCCCTTTGAAAGTCAGCAGATTACTTTCCTTACAAAGTTTATAACGTCCAGCCTAATGCCCTTCACAAAGCATCGTCAAATTTCCATGTCTTCTTTTATATATTCTGTTGAACACAGGGTAAGGGAAGGGTAATGTGAGAATCTGATACTGGGTTTCCAAAGGTCATCAGTCTGATAGACTGTTTAAATTGAAAAGACAAAACCAGAGATGGGAACTGGAAGAATGGAGACAGTGCAATTCCCTTCAAAAACTTCCAGAAATTGTTATCTCTACCTTCAGAAATGAAGGACCATTCAAGTCTTCCTGATGTCAGCTACTTTCCCTTCATTAACTACACTGCCACAAAATAATGTGATAAGCAGTTCAGTAGCAATTTGCCATCTGCCCTCACAGATCATGACTACAGTTATGAATCAAGTAGACTGAAGTAGGCTCCCACCCACCTCCCACTGCATGAATTAAACTTAACTCTTCATTAGCTGCGCTTCTTGGCCACTACTATCTGAACAGCAAGTAACCTAAAGTAGCTGGTATGGGAAAAAAACCACACAAATCCAAACAACATGATATAGTTTCTGGTCTCATTCTCTGACTAATTTTCCCAGCATCTCAGAATATATTGTGAAGACCTTTTTCTTTCCTCCTTTACAGTAGGAAGGGTTTGTAATATGAGCTGCCTTGCTTTTGTGTTCAAGGCATTTTCTGTAAGTAAGTGTTTACAAAATATTGCAGAGTGACAAAAACTGGTGAAGTACTATGAAGCATTTCAAGCCCACCATCATTATATGGGGAAGCACTGCACAACTCTCATGTAAAAAAGTGTTAATGCAGTTTGCTTTAAAGCTTTTAAAACAGTGTCAAAAAACCTCTCCTAGCCGGGAGAAACCCTGCAGGATGTCTCCTGCCCCACCTCTCACCAGCTTCACTTGGGACCACAGAGAGGGACAAACCCTCTAAAATCAGAATCTTTCCTCTAGTGATGGGTGAGTCAATCCAATAATGACTAAAATGTTGGAAGCCATTTGCTCCAACAAACACTATAAAAAAACCCCCACTATAAACCAAGTCTCAGCATGCAGCAAAGTTTTTATAGCTGAGGAGCAGTGATGGGATTTATGATTCAAACACTGATGGAACCTTAAATATAGTGATCCAAGTGGGAGTTATTTTGTTCAAATATACTCTTTCAGGCTCTAAGTGCTTAAAATAACAGAAAGAAACACCAGCAGCTCAGCACGGGCCATCTTCATCTAGGGCTCGTCTTCACTGTACGAGTTACTTTTGAGTTAATACTCTCAAGATACCCTCTTTGAGCTAGGTTTGAGTGAAAGATCACACTTCAGAATAACTCTTGGCTTTCAGAATACGTCTGCAGAGTCTCCTGCAGGCAAACCTGCGATGCCTCTGCCATGTGCCCAGATGCCTGGCAGTGTGGCAGGCAGCTGAATCATTCTGCCAGCAGCACAGCTGGATTAAAAGTCTACTGTCCCCCTCAGCTCTGCCAGTTTGACTGCTCAGTGATGGCTCTCTAGCCTGGTTCTGTGACGTGTGCTGGCTGATAGTAGAGCTCCTTTCTGGTACTCCTAAAATAGTACATCTGACTATGCTGTGGGCTCAGGGCTTCAACATAAATCCCCACGGTATATCATTAGCTTAAGCATCAGCAGCACTCCAGCTTTAGTACAATCTTTTCCTGCTACTGAAAAGGGAATTTTTGAAACATCACTATCTAAGGCTGGGGCCATTCATGCGTAGAAAGAGATCACACTGGTAATAAAATGCAAGTTTAACTCAGAATTTAACCATGCAGGAGGACACGCCATTCAGCTAATAGTCCTGAAACAAGCTTCCCACAACATAATGGATTCTGAATTGCTCTGCACCTTTAAGTAGCCAGTTATGCCTGTGCAAAGCAACACAACTACTGTCTGCTCTGCAGATAAGCCACACAGCAGTGGTGCTCTTGACTTTGCTCAGGTGCAATAGATGGACATTGCGTTATAGGAACTTGTCATGTTCATCTGGGGCAGCAGACAGAGCTTTGAGAAAATGCTATTGAACTTTTAATGGCAAGTTATCCTTGGCTGTATTTACATCTGACCTAAAAATGGCTATGATGAATAGAAACATATATAGGTTTTACATGTCCTTAATTTGCAACACTTGTCTATAGACTTTAGTTCATGGTGATATGAATGGTCTCTTAAGGATTGTTTCTTCATTCATGAATTAAATATCCCACGCAAACTGGTTTTGTTCTGCTCTAACACTATAAGCAGGTTGTTGAGGGAGGCACTAAATTAATGTTTGTATGGCTAGAGAATAACAGCTACTATTGCAAATTAATTACTGCTTTGACTGGCTGATATCTTCAGCAATGCCTTCAGCATGCTAATTCAATGCAGCCTAATAATGTATTCCTGAAACCAAAGGGTTAAAGAGACCTGTTTCCCCAGGATGCCATTTCAATGAGTTGTTCACTTGAGATACTTTTGAAAAAGGAAGGTTCATGGAGGTGATGAAGCAGAAAATAGAGAGGAAAAGTGCTGAATCACTAGCTGTGTTCTGTGCTTCTTTATATTTTTTATTTTACTTTCCATTTTAAAGGAAGGTAGGAATGTGCATTTGAGGACAGACTTTATTCATGCACAATACCCAAAATCTTTTTATTTGTTTATATGTTGTACATTTAATTGTGATTATACATGACACCTAGTAACACTGGTATACATTTACTGATGCTGCTCCTCGAAAGGCTTCACTTGCTTTAAGAATGCCATTGTAACTTTTTACTATTGTGCTGCTGTAAAATGGCTTCTATTACATGTGTCTCAGGACTTTTGTTCACTTAGAAGTCTGCCAAAAACCAGCAAAAGAGTAAAGAGTATTGACCTTTACTAAAGAGTATTATCAAAAAAACAAAGCTCTTTTTTTTTTAATGAAATGTGATTAAACCTTTTTTTTGGCCATTTTTTGTGGCCTTTAGGAACAACATTTAAGTTCAAGAGTGACAGATTTAAGTTCAGAGGTTTAGACTTACAAGCAACTGTGACAGTTGCTGCTGTACAGGTGACTGAAACTTGCTATGACACTTCCTCAGACTGTAAATGAAGCTTTGACTGGTGTTGGGACAGGGATTGTGTGTTCAGTTTGGAGAATGTGTAGTATTGACAGTATCTATAGTATATTCCATTAGCTTCACACAAGCCAGGTGGATACTGATACAGTACCTCCGCAGAAATAAGGTCACCAACGTTTTCCTGTCTCTGAGGAGTGAAGAATTAAGCTCTTTAATTAACTGCAGCATTAAGATGCCTATTGTGTCACCTGAACTTACATCAGATAGTCACAGGAGGGAGGCAAGGGTGAAGGCCTTCAAATTGGAACTGTTCCAGCCAGAAGAATTAATGTTCTGCCCTGACAACAGTTTTCTGGTAAAGTTGATAGAACATTTTTTGTATAGTTCCACTGATATCAGTGGTGCTACTTGCCTGCTAAGAAGCTACTCAATATGGCCTCAACACACATCATCTGAGCTTAGTCACACTTTCTTTGTTCAACATTTTTTCTATTACCTGCATATGTCTGGTGTGTAAGGTTAAGTAGTGAGAGGGCTGCTCCTAACAAAGGTGAAACAGGGGACCCCTACTGTAATCTGCTTTGCCTTTTGAGTTTCTTTATTGAAGAAGGAGCCCCAGGGAACAGTCTGGCAGCAGGGTACCCTCAGGAAACAGTTTGATTGACTGTGGTAATATGAAATGCATTAAAAAGTACCTGTGAAAACTTCTGTTGCAGTAAGTTTGAGGCAATGACTCCTTTTGCTTTAAAACGTACCTTAGCACAACTGGCTATTTCATAATAGTCAAATATATTTACTGGTGTTATTTTAACTGTATGGTACTAAGCTGTGGTTTGTTTTTTTCTTCTTCCTCTCCTTCTCCTTCCTCTCAGGATGAAAAGAATCAAGTATTAACAACAAACATCTGGCTACAAATGGTGAGTTTTGAAACAAAGTATGGGTTTTTTTCCCTCTTTGGTCTTTGAGTTTAATCTGGTGCGGGGTTTGAATTTTAGGAAACTTTCAAGCTTTTGTTCTATACCTTGCTACATAGTGGACAAAGCTAAGCTGAATGGAAGACTGTAAGTCTGAGATATACGTCTTGATGTTGTTTCAGGTATTTCTGAGAACTTTTAAGAATTTGAATTACTACATCTAAGTAAGTTACTAACTCATTGTAGTTGATTTAGTCACGCTAAACCCTTGATCATCATAAGACACCAGTGTCCTAAGAATCTCAGGGAGAGTAACTGTAGGTGCAAGTGCCTTATCATGCATTTTAATGAATCCATTATGCTGTGGTAAATCATTTGATTGTGAAAGAGAACGATACGTGCAAGAAATGCATTTCATCTGTAATAGCTGTTCTGATCAGCACTCTGGAAATTGCCAGATGGTTCTTCTGATACAGGGGAAAAATTGTTCCAAAGAGGTTCATTATCTCCTGAGAGCTGCTGCTACTGTCCTAAGGGAATGTCTTTGCCATCCTACTTGCTTTGCTGTCTATCTCCTTAAGAAACTGCAAGAGCGTTTTAACTGAAATGGCCTTGCTGTTCCCATGTTGTTCCAAATGTTGTTGTTTAAACATAGGTCATCATCAGAAGTTAACTGTGAAGATGAGAGGTTTTTCGTGTTACTTCTCCAAATTCTGTATCTCGGTTACGTGACTAAAATGGGTATTGGAACATCAGTTCAGTTTCCTAATGTTCAGCTGGGAACAGTATACTTTTTCCTGTTTTCCCAGTTTGTTGTGCCCACATAAGGTGTTTATTTTTCAAACAGTAGCTTTATTTTACCTTTCGTTGCAACGTTTAGTTGCTATAGTTGTCACAGAATTTCACATCCTCTCTTATTACTTAACCATAACTATTACCACCAGCAGAGAAATTTGTCCCCATTAAATCATGGCAGGCATTGCTAGGCAGGAGTAAGTTTCACTCACTTTTTAGTAAACAGAACAGATAACAGAATATTCAAGAACTTCGTGAGAGTATTTTGAATTTCTTTTCTCTATAAGGTTAACTAGTGAGAGAGCTGCTCCTAAGCAAAGGAGCCTACATGGATTTATTCTGACTTGATTGGCTATTTTTTTGCATTAGTTTAATACTAAGACTTGGAATTCACAAGATGCTTCTTACCATGCTCACTGCTGTGGGCTCCTAATGCTTCCACAAAACATTTCTACCATAAGTTTGTGCTTTACAAAGACGGGGTGATATGAGGAGCTTTCTCCATACTATAGCAGCTAGGATGAGAATTTGCCATTAGTTTAATTCCCACCTGTACTGCAGAAACTGAACTGTTTTGGGTTAAGTAAAGGTTTACAGAAGAGCTTTATTATTCAAGATAAGCATGCTGCTTCTATTAAATCATGGCAGGCATTGCTAGGCAGCTGTAAGTTTCACTCACTTTTTAGTAAATGGAACAGATAATAGAATATTCAAGAACTTTGTGAGAGTATTTTGAATTTCTTTTATCTGTAAGGTTAACTAGCAAGAGAGCTGCAGAAACTTTACACCTTTCAGTTTCTTTAACCAGCTCATTTAGTTTAAATGTATTCTTTTTTCTTTTATTGTAACACTTTTTATAGAGCACCTCTCTTGCACTGTGGTAGGTCTTAGGAAACAAATGAAAGACTATTTTGATGACCTACAAAGGATAGCATGGCTATTCCATTTATTCACAAAGAAAAGTTGACATGGAAGAAGCATTCAGCTCATGTTATTTTACAAGCTTGTTGTACAAGTAAGATTAAAACTGTGAAATACAATATTGTCGTGGTTTAGCCCCAGCCAGCAACTAAGCACCACGCAGCTGCTCACTCACTCCCCTTACCCCGATGGGATGGGGGAGAGAATTGGAGGAGTAAGAGTGAGAAACACTCCTGGGTTGAGATAAGAACAGTTTAATAATTGAAATAAAGTAAAATAGTAATGCTAATAGTAGCAGTATAATAATGATAATAATAATAATGATACACGAAGCAAGTGATGCACAATGCAATTGCTCACCACCCACCGACCGATATCCAGACAGTTCCCGAGCAGCGATCGCTGCTCCCTGGCCAACTCCCCCCAGTTTATATACTGAGCATGACGTCATATGGTATGGAATAGCCCTTTGGTCAGTTTGGATCAACTATTCTTGCTGTGCCCCCTCCCAGTTTCTTGTGCGCCTGGCAGAGCATGGGAAGCTGAAAAGTCCTTGACTAGCATAAGCAGTACTCAGCAACAACTAAAAACATCAGTGTGTTATCAACACTATTCTCCTACTAAATCCAAAACACAGCACTGTGCCTGCTACTAGGAAGAAAATTAACTCTATCCCAGCTGAAACCAGGACAAATATGTTAAGAAGTTATCGCTTATTTTCCTTCTCTTTTATCCCACAGCATCCTTATCCTTTTCAAGATTGTTCCCCCCTGCCCAAGGAAATTCCTGATTCTTTTATATATTCTGTATTTCTTTTGATTTATTCACCTTAGCACATACTGTACATGGAGCATGTTAAGACTGCAATGAGCAGATCGCTTGATTACTACAAAAAATGTAGCCATTCCTCATGGCCTGTGTACACATTAAAAAAAAAAGAAATGTGTTTGCGTATTAACTGTCTATTAATGGTATGCTAGACAGATTCAATGCATGCATAAGGCAAACATATGTCGTTTTATTATGCTAAATGTTCTGAAGTAAGTTTTTCCCTGAATTTCCCTCTCCACTCCCTTTCTTGAGAGAGAGATAAATGTGTATAATCAGATGTATCTTAAATATATTTTATCTAATCATCACTCAAATGCTCAAACACAAAAACTAACCTGGGAGAAAGGGAAATATAAATCTAGTATTTATACGTGCAGACTCTTTGATCCTGACCACTACTATCTCCATGGCAATACTGTTCTGTATCAAAATCTTAAACTTGATTTAAGTTACAGGAGGAGCCTTGCCTAGTCACACAAATTAATACTAACCCAGGTACCCTGAGCTGTTTGCTATTTTAATCCACATCAAATGTACTTCAGCTACAGCGGAGATTGTAGCTCCGAAGTTAAAACAAAATGAGGCAGCTCCTGTCCAGCTGGATGGGTAAGCACTTTGTACACATTGCTAAACAGAACAACTGTACAATCTGCTTAACATCTCTAATACAGACTTTAATATTAAGTTTTCTATCACCCTTTGCCCGTCTTTGCATCATTCATTGTCACCCGATGCTACATCGTATCGGCCATGATATCTCCTAAAAGAAGTTAGAATAGGAAATTATTGGATATATTGATAGAAATTATTGTAATGCAATTCAGATGGAAATGAACAGGAGAGCTTGCTGCACGCAACCAAGCTGGCAGGCAGCGAGCTTTGCAGCAGCTGCCTGCCGCCTGCCAGTCCCAGCCGTGCAACTGCTACGCAGGAAGTGACCTGTTCTGTCAGCTCCTGAAAATGAGTCACCTAAAGCCAACAAGAGCCCACAGGTTTAAATGCCTCAAAACCACACATTGTATTTGTTGACATTGCTGGACTTTGTAAAAAATAGAAGTGTCATGAGGATCTCGGTATTTCTACATTCCAAAAAGATGAGGTGGTAAAAAATACAGTGACATTTGTCTATTAGGAAGTTCATTAGTACAATTTGCTGTAAAAATTTATGTAAAATTTCTGTAAGAAAAATATGAGAAGCAGTTGATCAGCTTATAGAAGCTGTGTATAGATGAGCGTGAGCAATATGTATAGTTTAATTAGAGAACCATGAATGGAGCAGGCAGTGTAAAGAAAAAAACAATGAACAGAGCCAATCAGATATTCTGATTTAAGATATCTGTAAAAAACTATTATCTCTAAAGCAAAAGGAAAAAGCAAGGCACAACTCAGATCATTTGTCCAGGTGACAAGGCACTACAAATTCATAGTAAAAAATGAATGAAATAAATATGGAAGCAGAGGCCAAGAAAACTGTATAGTAAAAGCTTTACAAAAGATGTGTGATGAATGCTATTAGATGTGTAGCATGCAGCAAAATGGTCACTTACACTGTTCTAGAGGTACAAGAATGAATTTGAAAACCTGCAGCATGAGGCTAACTGGGGACTTGTTTGGTGTATCAAACTGAAACTTGCCTGTGACAGTAATGCAAGGGATTATATAGAACACTTTGATGTGAATATCCCATGAGAATACCCCACGATCAATAACATTACCTCCACAATACCCACCGGAAATTTTTTCTGACCTAATGTCTGTCAAAGATTTTGACAAGGGCTACTAGGCTGTTGAAGAGATGAGCATTGTACATTTACTCACCCATTTCAAAGTTTACATTTAAAAGACTAACATTTGGCATTGCGACAACGCTGTAAATCTGGAGAAGTTTTCACTGTAAGTTATGTGATGCCTACAGCTATGTGAAATTGATGTAAATAACATAATAAGGGGATAGAGAGAGGGGCAATATAATGAAGCATAGAAATTATAAGAAAAAATAAATGTTGTGAACCAAAATAAACTTTATGTCTTATTTATACCTTTGGCGCACAACAGTAACCACCCTTGTATCCTGACAAGTCATCTGCTTAGTAAGGGGTGAAGTGCAACCTCAGTAGCTCATGCTAGCGTATCTCAGGAGGCCAGGACATAACCAGCTTGGTAGAGCTGTCACGGTGCTCAGCTGCCTGCAGTTTGGGGCAGTGCTTTTGTTTAGGAATCTGCATGACCGTATGTTTCAATGCCAGTATCTGGGATTTGGCAACGCTAAACAGATCACGCCCCTGTTGGTTTGACTGTGACAGACTCCCTGCCTATACTGGCAGTCAAGGATGGGTTGAGAGGAGCATGGATGGCTCCCGGGGCGGATGCCTCCAGTGCAGTAAGTGCCAGCCAGGAAGGAATCTTGTGGGACAGCGCAGTGCTGCTGAGCATCTGCCACCAAGGTTGCCTAACTTCAGGCCACACGAGCTGCTAAGGCCTTCTATGCTAGTATTAACTGTTCTGCCATTTCAGTTGCTTTCCCTGTGAGCAGTGACTGTTGGCTGCTCTACCTCACACCTCTAATCAAGTTATTACAACCTGAGAATTTCCAACAACAGAAAACAACATTGTCTATGAAGATAAATGTAACTGAAGTTAATGTACGAATTGTAAAAGAAAATCTGTTCTGTCCCAAATTGGCAACTGAGACAGCATGTGTGATAAAATACAAGCACCCCAAATCTTCTTTTATAGGCTGTTATGTGCACTGCAGTGTGAACTGAAAATGAGATTTTTATGCTTTCCATGGAGCCCTAGGTGGCCTAATTCACCCTTTCCAAACATTTCACTGCCTGAAGCTAAATAGTATCGCTTTAACAAGAGAATACCTGTTGTTTCAGGCTATCCAGTCCCCAGAGAACTACAGTAAACCAGTGGATGAGACAACCTAATTTACTTTTTGTATTTATGTCTTAGTACTGGACAGATCATTATCTACAGTGGAACGTGTCTGAATACCCGGGAGTGAAGAATGTCCGTTTTCCCGATGGACTGATTTGGAAGCCAGATATTCTTCTCTATAACAGGTAGACACACTTTTTTCATGTGGGGAAGGAAAGAAGATCATAGAATTATAGAATCACAGAACAGCCCAGGTTGGAAGGGACCTCAAAAGATCAACTGGTCCAACCTTTCATAGGAAAGGGGGCCTAGATGAGATTATCTAACACCCTGTTCAGTCGCAAAGATAAGGCAAGGCAAATGACAGAATCATTTCATCAAAATGCCTAGGTTTTGAAATACTCTTCCAAAACTTTCTAGGTTTTTGCAATACTGGAAAATTACCAGTCTCCTGTTTACACAACAGATGATCATATTCGCAAATACTTCATAAACAATGACATCCTCCCTAGCACCAATTCTAGCTAGGTTTTGTGAGATGATTAGAAAACTAAACATTTCTGGCTGTGTTTAATGGCACAGGTAGTGATAATTTCCTCTTAAATTATTTGTTTGGTCTAAATGTTTACCGGTGAATTAAAATCTGACTTTTGACTGCTTGTCTACTTTTAGTTTGGGTTTCACTAGAGGCCAGTAAGTATATTTGCATTTTCCCATGTCCAGTTTTGGTGTCACTCTTTCTTCCTGCTACAAAAATAGCTAGAATATTTGGCCCTCTCCTCTTCAAACTATCTGTTCTGAGTTGGGCTTATTTCAGGTACAGACAGATTGCCATCAATCCACTGCAGAACCTTTGGCTGACACTGAGAGATTCTTTGGCTGCACCATTATATGGTAGTTCCCATTGTGGGATTTATTTAATTTAAAAAGACAAAGCACTGAGAGCTGTCTGCTCTTTAACAACTTGCCTTTTTCTGCAGTTGTGGGCTTGTGTGCTGTTCCCCAGGTACTGGAAAGACCTTACATCTGCTTTGTACATGTTTGACTGGCTCTTTTTTGGTAGCCAGGACATGTTGTTATTTTTTTGCCCGTGCAGATGACATGAACCTTTTGTCTTCCTGATGGCTTTTTTCCTGTATTTCTCTGTCATATGTCTACTGAGAAGACAACCCTGCTGTGCTTATCAACCTGATTCCCCCTCCCACTTCAGGAGGTGCTTTTTGTTGCAACAATACCTAGAGAATAGCCGTACCCAATATGTCAGCTGCAGTTATGCTCCCTTTTGCCATTTGATGATCACCGTTATGATCAATGTCACTGTCACAGGTGTTGTTGAATTGTAATGATGTGATAAGAGCATCCAGTGACAGCATTTGTCAGCCACTCAGTACTTCTCTCTACTGCTTTGTTTACAGCACTCTGCAGTGCTTCTCTCAGAGATACAATTAATACTAAATTATTTGAGGTGATCTCCACTAGAGTTCACCATACTTATGGTAACTGCCTGTCAAGATTACTTCTTGTGTCTGGTTTAAGCATGACAATTAGCACTTCAGTTGTCCATACACCAGCCTAAAAAACCTTTCAGATGCTCTGTACACCAAATGCAACAGCATGCAACCTGGACGGGTATTTTTTGCAATATTAATCTTGCTTAATGTATTTTTCAATGCAAATTTGTTCTCTTGAGCATTTATTCCTAGCTAACTTGATTCCGTAAAAGACAGCATTCTTGGGAGAATCTGACAAATTGCACATTCATTTCTATTCTTCTACTGAATAACACATTGTGTATGCCATAAAATTGGTACTCTACAACAGCAGTTTAGAGGTTCCCAAAAGAATGAATTACGACAATATTCTTCATCCCATATATCACATACCTGAGAGAGACTTTCAGTGTGTCTGAGGATTTATGCTTCAATATTTAAGTAAGTATATCCAAAATGAGAGGGTAATTTTTTTAGAAATTAGTAATATTAATACATATGTGCTAACTGTAGCTGAAGCGCGTTATAGAACGAGAAGGGCAATTTAATAACATGGAAAACTGAAAACACTAGTTTTCTGTTAATATAGGGTTTTGAATCTTGGGATTGTTAACTATGGCACGGTCATGAAGTAATTATTCTACAGTGTTTCTATTTTGAACACATACTTAATCCAAAATCTTATTCAGAGTTGAGTCAGAAAGCAAAGCTATTTAAAACAAAATATTATTCCTGTATGAAATTGCATTGGGAATGCTATGATGTTCTCTTATAGTGACATGGTATTTTGAGATAGATGCTTTCAATTTCTATACACTTCATTAGGGACATGCATCTGCAGTTACAAGGAAATTAATAAACTCTAAATTAATTTTTCATTTTAATGAATGCATGTTTCACTATGTCTTGTGTCCTTAAACATCTTTCTGCAGCCTAGTACAGAGAAAATTGTGGCAGCTGTATTAAATTGTACAACCAGTCTATTGTGAAGAGAGCAAGGACAGTTCATCTGTAGTTTTTCCAAGGGAAGAAAATCTTAGCCTATGTACAAATTCCAGGATTGACTGACTGTGTTAGTGTCATGTGTGGCTCTCTTCCATTTTGTTAGTTTTACTAGACTTAATAAAAGTGCTCATTTCTGGTGGTATTATTTTCCAAATGGCTTCACAGTGTTCAGTACTTCATGGAATAACAAAAATTCTGGGAGTTATGTCTCATTTTAACAGTTTCATTTTTGCAGTTTTATAAACCTGACATTCTTCAGATAGGTCCCAGTGGGATTATATCTGCTAGGTATAGCTTTGTCATCTCAATGTACTGCAGTCAATATCTGCTTTTGAGGGGTTATACCCTGAAGAAGAAATGTAGCAGAAATGGTTTTCTATCATTACATTTGAGTGCAAAGTCTCATGAAGCAAAGGGTTATCTACTTGGTACATTCCCAATTGAAGCACTGCATTTCACAATTAGAAGTGTAGTGTAGGAAAGCACATATGCTCCTTTTTCAGAAAAAAGAATTTCGTATTTGAGTCTGAGTACCTCTCGATATTCTTTTAAGAATGTGTCTTATGAAAGGCAAAGTCACATGGCAATGAAACCTAGGTTCCTTGATCACTTGTGTCCTTTTGAAAATTTTATTTTTGCCAATTACCAGAAACAGCAGCAAGGTCTTAGAAGAAACCCTCTGGTGCTTACCTGCCCTCTGCTCGAGGGGAAGAGAACAGAATCTAGCCTAGGAGGCCAAGAATTTTATTTCTAGTCATTAATTTCCACTTTACAAGTAATTTGTGTGGCATGGATATTTTTACATCCTATATTTGACTATTTGTTTAAGTTTCATCATGTAGCCCTTATTAATTTCATGTCAAAGCAATTACTTGTCTATGTCTAATATAGAAACATATTGCAGGACTTTAAGTCTGGCTTTCTGAGGAAACAAGACTTAGGCATGCGTGTGCCTACACACCTGTGTGAATATATGTGTTTGCATGTGATCTTTCTTGCTGCCCCTTTCCCCAATATCCTCTGAATCCATTTCTGCCAAATTTAGCAGTGCAATCAGTAGAGATCTTAGGAGTACCAGTTTCTTACAAATGTCATGAAAACAGGCAGCCAAGATGAGAAGGGAGAACAATTAGTGCTCCAACTGGAAGAGAAGCTGCAACATGAACTCTGAGAATCCAGCCACGAGCTGTGAAGGTGGAGAACGGCCTACGTTAGTTCAACTGCCTTAGAATTGAATTGCCTTTTCCCCTCAAAGTTCTAGAATCCATTCATGCTGTGTACACAATATTTAGACTTTTCCGCTTGTCTTCAGAGTTCAAATTAAATAGTTGCAAAGATTTTTCAATACTGTGAGCCTTCTGCTCACCACAGGAAAAAGTGCAACTCCAGATGGGCAAGTAATTATTTGGATTTAGTTTTTTCTTGTCTGCATATTTCACAGACCAGTCCAGGTATTTTTAAAATGTAACGTCTTCAAATACATAAGGGGAAAATAAAATGCAAAGTAAAAATGACTAAGATAATGATTACTTTATTTTAGCTTCTGAGATACAAAATTTGCATCAGAATAGATGAAATATTGAAGTCTTCTTTTTTAAAAAAGAATATTTCAATATGGGTTTTCCTGCTGGAAAAATATACCATTTATTATACTTCATTTTCTGCTAGAATTATGAATATTTCACTTTCTCTCCATCTCAGATTCTTACTGTATTTTTCAGATGATGTTTTAGAAGGTGATTAGAAAATTGTGAGATACTAGACCACTAATAGGCAAAGAGACATCAGAGACTTGTCATGTTCAAATCATCCTAGAGGCAACACAATTTTTTAGATCAATGACAGCACAGACTGCAGCAGGAAGGCAGACCCTGAGGCTCGTGCGACCTCCTTTGCCCTGCCCCAGAGCAGCTGGCACTGTATTTGCCTTGTATGCCAACCCATCCCCACAAGGTGACTGTTTGGAAACTACAAACAATACAACAAAGTACAGTAGCCTATGTCTCATTTTGCTTATCCCCTGCACAAATGAAAGCCCAAGAAAGCAGCCTATATCTATAATCAGGGCCAACAGCCATCAGACGTGAACTCAACACAGCAGTTCCTGAAATAACTTTGAGATGCAAAGATCATTCACTGCTAGTACCTTCCCAGTACATTCTGTGCAATTTAATCTAGGCACCAATTTCAATAACTATGACAATTTCTCAAGTACCTAGGTCCCAGACTTTAAAGGATGTATAGATCAGAATCTGTAACACCTTACCACAAAGACCTGCAGTAGTAAATGGGAACTGTGAACTAGGGCACAATACTATATGAGTCTATATCCATTGCAATGCTAAGTAATCTAAACGTCTTTGTTAGAGTGATTTCAATCAGCAAACTTACTAAACTATTCATAGGAAAGAGTCTTTATTTAATCATCTAAATATTTGAAAATAGGTTGTTTCCCATATAGAAGTTCTTAAAATTTTATTGCGTAGTAAATTCCTGGGTCATAGTGTCAGATGTAGTTGAGATACTCCTTGGCAGCAGCTGCCAATTCATAATTTGAAGCACTCTCCAAGTAACATTATGATTCTTTTCTAGAGACTTGTAGGAAAGGCTCACCAGGGTGGTCCTGGCCAGCACCACTACACTGACACCTGTAATAGGGTTTCTTTTTTTTTTTTTTTCTGAACCCAGTTTGTATCTTCTGAAGTAGATAATGAAGGCCGGAGCTGCATTAAACAGTCTTATGTATGATGTAGTAATAATGTTCACCCATGCAAAGGGGTAGGATGAGACACTGGAGTATCCATCTCCTCAGTATTCCTTAGCTGCTGTTAACGTACAGAGCAAGAGAACAGATTTCCCTGTACAGTTGCTTGAGAAGTTTTTAAAAAGTGCTTACTTTCCAAATGGAAATCAATAGAGCCAAGGCACTGTAATGAATGTAGTGGAATAGGTGAGCAGCGAGAATGAGGTGGCTCACCTTCACTTACAGTTGTTAATCAGCAACAAATCCAATAGTGTCAGGCCAGCAACAGGAGAAAAGCTGTCAAGTTTTTGCAGAGAAATAATCCTTTTATGAAAAATGGATTCATCTCAAATATTCTTCAGCCAGTCAAAGAACATATAACCCATTTTGTTTTTTCCCTATTCTAGTGCTGATGAAAGATTTGATGCTACATTTCACACTAATGTTTTAGTCAATTCTTCAGGACATTGCCAATATCTGCCACCAGGTAGGCTGTTTTCATGTCATAAATTTTGATAACTCAGACTACTTATGTATGCTGTGCTTTCAAATTTGACAACAATTCTCTGATATTTTATTTATCTAGCCAGCATAATCTGATAGATTTAAGCCTAGATGCATCATGAATTACACGGTTAACACTTCTGTATGAAAACCACCATACAAGATACATTTTTTTATGGCAATTATGTAAATTCTTCTGTCATAATGCACTATTTCAGAAGTGTGGAAGTATAAAAGAAGATAAAAAATAAAAGCCCTTAATATAAACCGACATTGTTTATTAAAGCCATGGTAATGCCTCTTAATAAAAATATATTTCATTCAATTCTGAAAGCTGCTAAATGACTGGGTCTGACTCAACAAGTGAAAACTAAGCAGCTAGCTTTCCTGAATAAATCAAGATCATGTATATCTAGAAAGACAGCAAATAATCTTTCAGGTTTTCTTATTTTATTCAGTAAAAGAAATAGGAGAAACAGATTGCATATTCTGCTTTATTTCTTTCTGAAATACAGTTACCTAGAAATCTGAGCTCTTCTCTAGACATTCTCTCACCATGTGCCAAAATGGAAATGTAGTTCAAAAACTAGTTTATAACATCAATATATTAATGGTGCAGTTCTTTCCCTTTTCTATGACTGACTTTTGCTATTTTCATGTCAAGACACAACTGAGATGAAATGTGCTTTACAAGTAAAAAAGCAGAGGGCGCAATGTAGAACAAGGTTACAAAATGTACATGAAATTATGTGGAACAAGCATTTAAATTAAGCTTTCTTGTTTAAAATCCAATCTAGGCATATTTAAAAGCTCATGCTACATAGATGTGCGCTGGTTTCCGTTTGATGTTCAGAAGTGTAACCTGAAGTTTGGATCCTGGACTTATGGAGGCTGGTCCTTGGACTTACAAATGCAAGAAGCAGATATATCTGGCTATATTTCAAATGGAGAGTGGGATTTAGTAGGTAAGCTCTTGATTTCTTATTTACACTGTGAACTTGCAGCCTTGTCACCACTGCTGAAATGGGTGGAATAATGATTGGGAAACGAAGACAGAAATTAAATGAGTAAATGACCCAGCTAGTGGCATGTGAAACCCTAAGAACAGATGTAAGATGAAAATCAACATAAAAAAGTAGGTGACAATATTGCTACTTGAATTCAGTAAGTATATTTTAGCTGATTTTCCTTTATTATCTGACAAAAATTACATAATTGGGAATTAAACTTACAGAAGTAGTTTACCTATAGTAAAGTTCAGAAAGCTACATTTACCCTTTTTTAAAATAATCACTACATAATATACAGTTTATTCACATTAATTTCTGGTTTTCTTCCTTTTTCCTCCTACACAGGAGTTCCTGGAAAGAGAACTGAGAGTTTTTATGAATGTTGTAAAGAACCCTACCCAGATGTAACATTCACAGTAACTATGAGACGTAGGACTCTCTATTACGGACTCAATCTTCTTATTCCTTGTGTACTGATATCAGCACTTGCTTTGTTAGTTTTTCTGCTTCCAGCAGACTCGGGAGAAAAGATCTCACTAGGTAAATCCTTAATAGGATATTAAACCAAAAGAAGTTGTCCTTTTTAAAGTTTTTTAAACAGTCTTAGTAGGCAAGGAGGAATAGCTTGTGTGCCCTACTCTGGCTCATGAGCAATTTTTACTGTTTGATGCTGAAGCTGTGTGACGTTTAACCCTTGCTCTCAGCTTAGGTTATACTGAAGTTGTGAAATGCAGAAAGTCCAGCCAACCAAGCAGAAGCACGACAATTCCTGGCTACTTTCCTTAAGAGGCAGGGTTTCATATTTTGACATTTATTTGATGAAGAAAAATCTCACATTCACTGAGTAAAGCTTAAGCTTACAAATATGCTTTGAACACTTTAACATGGAATTCTTCTTAATATTTCCTTTTAATAGTGAGTTGTATTAAGAGCCAAAGGTGCCTTCTCAGAAAGATTGATTCTAACTGCTACTATTCTAATTTTTATAGCGAATTATAACTGAAGTATAGGTTTGTGAAACAAATCTGAAGACTTTAAGTACTTGATCCTTAAGATGGAGATTAAATATGTAATGAAACTTTTTGCCCCGTACAACACTGCAAACACACTGACCTCTGCTAACTGAACATAGCTCTTAAAAGGTAGAAACAAAGTTGACATTTCTCCAGAACATGGTTTAATTGAGTAGTAGCCTCCCTAATGAACAAGTCCCTCTCCATATTTTAAGATGAATTCTTTGCTCTTAAATCCTTTTCAACCTGCCAATGACTCCTTATTGTTTAAGACTAGTCCTGAGAACAGAGCTAAGCCTTGCTCCAGAAAGATGGGAACCCATCACTGAGCAGCAGAAGTCAAATTCCAAAAATCAACAGTCAAGACTGCTTGGGCATAGCCACATGCAGAACACAATAGTTAATATCAAAAGATATCAAAGTCTGTCCAAGACAGCAAATCTGTTTTTCAGGAATATTATGCATTACACCACCTGTGGCTTCCACACCAATCAATCGTGTCATATGCTCATACTCAAAATCACACCATGTTTCTAAAGCAAACAAGCAGCAAGAATTACTTTGATTTACCTCATCTAATTAGCAAACAGTGATAAAAGCTGAACAGCTACAAGGATCAAAAAATATATACATCTGTGCAAGCATTGGTACTAGTTTGGCAGCACTGCTACCCTCAACTTCAGGTTGTATAAGAAAGGATACAGGTACCACTAATGTGCTGGTGTGGGGTAAGAGTGGAAATGCATCTTGCTAAGAGCACTCCTTCAGATCATTTTCTGCTTCTTACTGCCTTGTAATTACAAGCTTCTGATCTGATTTCATACTTCATGTTATCTTTCAGGTATAACAGTTTTATTGTCTCTCACTGTCTTCATGTTACTTGTGGCTGAAATTATGCCAGCAACATCTGATTCTGTGCCCTTAATCGGTAAGCTAAATACAGCTTTTATTCACTTTTATTTTTTGTCAGATGAGGTGCAGTGACTTTGCATGAAGGCCAGCAGTAAGGCAAATTGCCACCTGTACCATGGCCTTGCAATTGAATTACAAAAACATTGCCAATTGATGAGAGGCTCTGATGGGTGTGATCCCTATGCAACTTCTGTGCTCTCTGCTCTGAACAAAATAGAGAACCTATGTATATTTTGGGAAAGTGTAAGGGAGTCAGTTTTACATGGAAGTTGTTGCACTTTCGACACAATTGGCCAGACATCAGGAATATGGAGCTAAACATGATTGAATCTTCCCATTGTAGTTGCTCAAACAGAAAGAGAAACTTTTCAAAAGAAGTACTAGCCAGTTTCTACAATACTGGTGAAAGAAAATTAGAGGACAATTTTTTTTCAAGGTTGCTTAGAAAAGGCAGCTGCTCAGTTCCACAAAGACAATTACTAAAGGCTGGCTATCCTCTCAAAATAACGGCTGCTCTTTCTGCTTTTGAGAAATCTTTCACAAGCACGTGTATCACTACACTGGAAAAAGAACTTAACACTATGTATGCATGTATATGAACACCCCTTATAATAGCTACAAAGCAATATCAGCCAAAGTATATTGCTGTAATTATCTGTTTATTTTGCAGCTCAATATTTTGCCAGCACTATGATTATTGTTGGTCTTTCTGTTGTTGTCACTGTTATTGTTCTACAATACCATCACCATGATCCAGATGGGGGGAAAATGCCTAAATGGGTAAGGTTTGATTTTCATTCATTATCCATTGTGTGATAGAGTGTGATAGAGTGATAGAGTGTGATAGATGTGATAGAGTAGCTAGTGACCCATGTTTACTTCTTACTATTAAAAACATATAAATCCTTCCTAAACATTTTGTTTTGAAAAGTAATGTCACCAGAAATGAGATGTTCAGATGCATTTCATGTGGTTGGCTTCTAAGAGAGAGGATGACTATACCTCAGCTTGCTTCTATATTCAGAATCTCCTTCACAACAGCTAGAAGCACCTCAGTATTTTGCTAAAACCTAAATATATAAATGAAGGTGATTTTCAAATAAGCTGCAGATGTCAGAAGTGAAACAGGTAGAACGAAAGAGTAAGGTGCTGATGGAGATTATAAATGCATGAAACACTAGCCTCAAGGTGCAACTGTGCAGCTGCTACATATTTAGCTGCTGTGCATACAGAAACATCGGTAGTCTAAAAAGCATGTGTTAAAGATGGCTGTTAAAGTGGAAGTGAAACTTGCTCTGAAAATCCTCATCTTTGACAACTCTGGTCCAGAACATCTGTAAAGTGCAAAGAAAAGTTGAAGTCTTTTTCTAAGCGCATAAGACTTTCTTTATAATGTACTTCTGTGAGTGGTTGTTTTTACAGAGAACGTTATAATGATATTGGATTGTTAAATATTGGTGAGTATCGATAATCAGCTGACTGTCCACTCTTCCTGACTTCACCCAGCTCATGGCAGCATCAGGCATTACTGAAGATGGAAAGACCTTTCTCTTTTTTTCCTCTCTGGAACAATGAGTTCTTATTATACTTACTAGCCAAAAAGAATATGCATACAGCAGTGCCCTGCGGACAAGAGATAATGAGATGTTCCCTGGCCTATTCTGGGGTAGTGACTTTAAAATAATTTTCAATGAAGAGAATAAAAGATACATATATTTAGACGCATGTTTGATGACCTAAAGGGGACAAATGTTTAGTACTGAGCCAAACATCCTCAGAAAACAGAGTACTTGAGGTTGAGGAGTGAGCTTTAGTGTTGAGAAGCTGAAGTCCATTAAACATTATTTGGTTACTGGTGGATTTTGGATCAGGCCCTGAGTTAATGGAATATTATCCTTCTTGCTGAAGCTTCATAGTGTAAATAGAGTAACAGGGCAAGATCTGTCTCATTGGGATGTTTGCCTGGATATATCATCTACTCTGGCAATCCACAGTCAGAATAAATGGACCAAATCTAATATTAATTACAGTGTAAGATTTGTATACTACATGAGACAATAATATTCACTAATGCTCTGGAAAAGAAACACTGGAATGAGCTCTTAAAATCTGTTTGAAATAAATTATAGAAGCTTGCATTTGAACTGGAACAGTCTCTGGCTTACCTGCACTTTCTGTAAGGCTAGACTAAGGCAATGTGGAGAACAATAAAATGATACACGCTGATTAAATTTGCAAAATATTTTTTTTAAATCAAAGTAATTTCTTCCATCTTTTCTCCATGCTATATCCAGATCTGTTTTCTAAAATCTGCAATCAACTGTCATGAAAGCAATGTGAAAACAGAACCAAAACATTGTAAAGCTTGATGGTCCAGTCCAGTCCGGTATAGCATCTGTTTTAGCAGCCCCCCTCCAAACAGTAATGTCATGTGAATTTAATATTAGAGCACAAATAGGAATGAAAGAATTGTAAATTATTGACTACAATCTAAAGCAGCACTATTAGGACTATTAAAAGGTAACTCTTCTTCAGCAAGTTTTTGGTGGTTTTTTTTTTTTTAATTCATGGTTTCTAGTGAAGGTGGAAAAGGCTGCCATATCGCTATTCAAGTGTAAAGAAAAATCAACACTATGGAGACTCCCATCAGAGGAGGGGGGGACTCCCAATAGTGATAGCCTGAGGCAATCAACAGCACTGGTAGAATAAGAAAGCAGCCTCAATGACTGGCAAATTAATCAGCTGGAAAACTCTGACACCATTTCCTAGAACTCCTGTGCAGACTAAGCAGAGACCATGGACCAGACAGTCACCCAGGCTGCAAAAATACCAATAGTGCCCAAAGACAGTAGCTGTGTGAAGAGATGCTTATTCTCAAAAATTTTCTTTCAGACAAGAATCATCCTTCTCAACTGGTGTGCTTGGTTTCTGAGGATGAAAAGACCAGGAGAAGATAAAGTGCGTCCTGCCTGTCAACATAAACAGCGTCGATGTAGCCTATCAAGTGTGGAGATGAACACTGTGAGTGGACAGCAATCCAGTAATGGGAATATGCTATACATTGGGTTTAGGGGGCTGGAAGGGGTTCACTGCACACCTACCACTGATTCAGGGGTGATCTGTGGGAGGATGACCTGCTCACCAACAGATGAAGAAAACCTGCTGCACAGTGGCCATCCCTCTGAAGGTGACCCAGATTTGGCCAAGATCTTGGAAGAGGTCAGGTACATTGCAAACCGATTCAGAGACCAAGATGAAGAAGAAGCCATTTGCAATGAATGGAAGTTTGCAGCCTCTGTAGTGGATCGGCTCTGCTTGATGGCTTTTTCAATCTTCACGATCATTTGTACAATTGGTATTTTAATGTCAGCACCAAACTTTGTAGAGGCTGTGTCTAAAGATTTTGCTTAACTCCTAACTACAATCTGATTCTCTGAAGTATGATATGTAGCAAATAAGAGTGTGGTTTTTGTTTGCTTGTTTTTAATGAGTATACTGCTTCTCATTGTCTGCTTTCTTTTGCCCCCCCTCTCTGGTCTGGAGCTCCTTTTGGAAGAGTGGCACCATTTCAGGAGGGAAGCCAAGGATTTCTCCCTGGGCTGCCTGTGCACAGCTCCTCTGAGCGCTCTTCTGTGGGAGATGTGAAGTGGCTGCGAGTCCCTTCAGAATGACAGGGTATTGCACCACCGTCTCTTACACATTTTTGAACTGGCTGTTACAAAATACCAGGCAATGCCAGAAATGTCACTTCTTCCAGACTTTGTTGTAAAAGATGGAAGGTAGTCCATCTTAACTATTTCAATGAGTGATCATAAATACTTACGTTTAGGAGAGGATTAAATCCAAATAGATGGAAGCTCAAACAGTAGAGAGAAATGGGAGAAATAGGTTGCTTTTCAGTTACTGCTTCTTACTGAGTTGTGGTATGTAGCTCTCCAGCTCCCTCATAACCAGTCAGACCCATAACTCCCTCCATGCATTTTACATAGGGCATATGAGACTTTACAGGATTCTGAATTTGTCTGAGACACCAGAAACGTGAAAGTTAAGATGATACACCACATAACTTGTCCTTTTATATCTTTCTGGATTTGACCTAGAAGTTTGGCCTGAGTTCTTAAACAGGCTTCACAGTAGTTTTTGCAGTGTTTACTACTTCCTCCTTCTCCCCAGAAAGACATTCTTTCAATTGATGACCTTTTTAACTATCAAAACAAAAATGAAGGATTTACGATGCCTTTATCCTCAGTTGTTTAAAAAAAATATACACATTTGTCTCTCTACTGTTAACCATATTCCAATGTGGAAAAAGTAACTTAGTGTCTTGTACAGGCTTAAGTGTAAATGAAGAATCTAAAGCAAAAAGAAGCCATTAAATCCTGAGATCAAGGTTTTAATTTAAAAATTGAATGTTTGATCTGTTGTATGCTTAACCTTTGTCGTGGTTTAGCCCCAGCCAGCAACTAAGCACCACGCAGCCGCTCGCTCACTCCCCCTACCCTGATGGGATGGGGGAGAGAATCGGAGGAGTAAGAGTGAGAAACACTCCTGGGTTGAGATAAGAACAGTTTAATAATTGAAATAAAGTAAAATAGTAATGATAATAGTAACAGTATAATAATGATAATAATAATAATGATACACGAAGCAAGTGATGCACAATGCAATTGCTCACCACCCACCGACCGATACCCAGACAGTTCCCGAGCAGCGATCGCTGCTCCCTGGCCACCCCCCCCCAGTTTATATACTGAGCATGACATCATATGGTATGGAATAGCCCTTTGGTCAGTTTGGATCAACTATTCTGGCTGTGCCCCCTCCCAGTTTCTTGTGCGCCTGGCAGAGCATGGGAAGCTGAAACAGTCCTTGACTAGCATAAGCAGTACTCAGCAACAACTCAAAACATCAGCATGTTATCAACATTCTTCTCCTACTAAATCCAAACCACAGCACTATGCCTGCTACTAGGAAGAAAATTAACTCTATCCCAGCCAAAACCAGGACAGCCTTTTATAGACCTCTTCTGTTGAGTCACCATAACATGTCTTTACAAGAAAACTGCACCTTTTCGGCTCAGTTTATCATCCGAAGAGCACTAATGAATAATAAAGCTTTCTTGGGTCTGCTACAAACTATGAACTGTATAAATACATATTTATATATACACTATGCATATATGTCCAAGGAAAGTTTAAGACTTAAATACACATTCTCTTAAGTCTAGAGAGACATTTGCAAAGGCAAAACTAATAGTTCATCACTTCATGTTATTTCTGATTCTGAAATTCTCCCATCAAAATACGCTTAAGTTTTCATGTGACTTCAATGTCTTAATGAAAAGGACTGAGCTGAGAATACCAGGACATGAAACATTGTGTGTGCAAACCAGCTGCAAATTAGTCTCTTGCTGGCACATGAGTATTCCTGACCAGTGATTTAAGTGGTAAAAGATGTGGGGGAAGATTACTTCAGCATTGACTGCTTGCTTTATCCTACAGAATCCTGACTTTTTGGCTGAGGTCTTCAGAGACACAAATAGAGGCCTGTTGTTGTACAATGTTTTTACTATGAAATAAACTCAAGGCCTCAGTTCATCTCTTAAACTGGATTAAAATAAAGTGACTGAAATGCTTAATCTCCCTAGGTAACAATTTCCTTTTCAGAGTGCTTCCCTGAAAGCAGGATAATCAAATTTCATGTAAACCAAGCCCAGAGTCACCACAGGTACAGTCCATCACCTGAGTGAAGACCTTGCTCAGACACCTTCATGCCCAAGAAAAGGGCAGGAGGAGTGAAAGGAAGGCAGGATATTTCTCACAGTTTGTGAATTCTGTCTTCCTGAAGGTTCATTCAGAATCTCACACTGCAAAGACATGAGCAAAGCATTCAAATCCGTCTTGAAAGCTCATCATGAAACTGCATCTCAGAGTTATCTATGAAGAAGTTATATTTTAAGGAACAATTATTAAGAATTAGCCATGCAATAATGCCTGCAAATAGTTTCGTTTGTAGATTGCATATGAATAGGAAACTATGAGTCCAAAATCTGAAATGTGAGTTTTGTTCATTTGTGAATAACTATACATATCATGTGGCATGTGCTGCTCTTCTGAGTCATGTTTCTAGATTAGGCTTCCTGATGTGAATGTTGATTTGCATTGGTATTTTTTTCTTCTGCAAGTAACCCTAAGTAGCTACATAGAATGTTCCATTTAGTCTTTGTAAAGTCCTGGGGTCCTCTTGGAGAAGAATTTTTCAAGAAGAAATGAAGACTTTTGGGCACTACCTTGTACAATGGGACACAACTATTGCAATCATAATACATGATGAATGTAATATAGGAAGCATGAGAGTACCCCTCTTTCCACCAGAATCAATTTACAGTATCTGTAGAAATCATCTTGCTAAATACAGGAGTTCTTTACTCTTATAGGATGGATAAAGCAATTTACAATTTGACAGTAGACTTCATCATCAATGACATACATGCCTATGCTTAAAAATTGGAGACTGGTATTTGGCCTTTAGTGAAGTCCTGCCAAAGACTGTAACAGTGAGTTTGTAATACTGTCAAAGTTTGTAATACTGTCAGTGAATACCAGGTGTTAGACAAAATAACTGTAAGACACCAGCATCATGCCTACACTGCTGCCTTTATCACTGGCAGGATTAATGAAAAGGCACCAAGGGGACAAGTGAATCCTAATTTTCCTACTGTTAACACACCCTGGAAACATTTGGTAATAAGATTATTATAAATTTTAGATACAACAGTGACAACTTCTCAGTTATGTTATTTTGCATCTATGAGTTAAATTTTTCTATAACTGAGCTGAACAAAATTGGTATGTTTCTTGTCAAATTGTGTGCGTCAAATATATTTGTGTATGTGCTAAACAATATTTTGATCTAAATGCTGGGAAAAATTTTTCTTTACAATTCTGGGTATAGAGATGAAAATTAAATACTCTATACAGTATGTGTATATAATAGTAAAGACTACATATTGATAGTAAGGATCTGTTATAATCTTAAGAGTCCAGAGAGAGGATAAGAAAGTGGTTCACCACAGCTAAGCTATGACTTGTCTGACAAATTCAAAAACTCACTCCAGAGCTCAGCTGTCATGTACAATACTATGTGTGAACAGTGTATATTACTTTTTCTGTTTTTATATTGAATTGTATTGAATATTTAAAAGACTTTTTAATATTTAAAAAAATTTATTTGTGTTAATGCCAAAAAAGTTCCAACATAAAATTTTAAAAGGTTAGTTTTAAATACAGATAAATTATTTAAACAGTGTTTAAAATATTAAATTATTTTATATAGGAGTTGATAATACTATGTAAGACTTTTTTTTAAAGATTTCTTTAAATTGTCTTTACATTCTCTCTAGCTGCAGGATGTAATAGCAGTTCAGCTGTGACAATTCAACTTTTCACCTTCTTTAACAAGAAAAGAAGGTAAACCAAAGTCCCAGATTTTCTTTCCTTTTGTTATACTATTTTTTACATTAAGAAACATTGCATAAAGGGCATTAGAAAGAGATGTTACATCTGTCAGGTTCTGATTGTCATATAAGCGATTCAATACCTTTTCAGTCCAGTACAAATAAAAGATTTAGATCAAGAGACTTTTGATTCTTTCTCATTTTGCTAAGATGCAAATAAACTGAAGTGCTAGGAAACATGAATAGTCATAAAAGAAAGAAAAATGTCTTTGGTTATGTCAATTTGGGACGACCAAGGTCTTTGATAAGTAAAAATATGTTCATATCCTCTTAGCAAACTAGTCGCACACCAAACATATATTATTTCAGTCTTACATAAGCAATCAAAGTTAACCAAGTAGGACTGAAATACCACATAAGTTTTGGACTGGCTTCAATGCCAGCATTAATTTACTTCTTGAAGTTTAGCACAGAAGAGAGAAACGAGGAAAAAAAGCCATACTAGCTGGATAAACTGTTGGTTTTGCCAGCTGCAAATTTTGTTTGTTGGCTACTGGCAAAAAAATACCTGATCAGCAGAACATCCCTCAGATGGGGAAAAACCATGTCAGTGTAGTTCTGCAGATGAGTTGTACTGCCCACATGCTGAAACAGCTTCCTGAAAAGCTTTCTGTCTTTACAACATCCTGCTGAGCATGCGCCAGTAATAAAAAATCAAGGGTTGCCATACCCAAGACTTTATTCTCTTATTGCTTCCACAAGCTTTTAAGGAACAGCTGATGAAGACCAGTTTGGTCAAGGTCAACACACCAAGTCATACAAGCATGTAGTTGTTACTGAATCCAACCTGTCCTTGGATAAGAGATGCCATGGGTCACAACGTCAGGCTCATGCTGATGGCTGCTCACTCTTCCAAGCCGACATGCCTACCCTCTCTTCTAGAGTGCTGAGAAGCAGGACATATTACCTCAGACTTACTGTTACACTTCAACATGGTCAGACAGGTTTAGCTCAGCACACACCAGGCAGTTTTCTGGCACTGTGTATAAACCTACCATCACACATACTCCATTCTCTGAAGTGTTTGTGAATGGGGATTAAAATCAGACTGCTGTCTGCTACCACTCTCAGGCATCTGGCTGGTTGATACGCAGACTGAAAGCTGCTGTGGTTTAGGATTTTACACATGAGCAAGTCCAATGTCATTGCCCTCTGTCATGGTTTAGCCCCAGTCAGCAACCAAGCACCACACAGCCGCTCATTCACCCTCCCCCAGCAGTGGGATGGGGGAGAGAATCAGAAGAGCAAAAGTAAGA